TTTTTACAGAATTAAAATATGATCATTTTAAGTGTGCGTAATCTTGTCAGGCTTTTATGTTCAAAACGTGAAATAAATACGCTGCTTCCAATCGCCTTAAAGTAAGTTCTTAGCATTTATTATACAGCATGTTCACGGAAACCAGGAACACTTTATCACTCACTACCCTGTAAATATTTTTCAATTCTGCTTATTTAACATTTAATTGGACTAATGTATATGGACATTTTATTTTATTTTTTAATTGCACGTATTGTTTACTTTTGACAACCATGATACAAATTACTATAAAAACATGAACTTTTAGAATGAACCTATATCATTGATCATTTGTTTATTAAACTAATCATTGCATGTTCGAGCTAGGACTGGTAACAAAGAGCTAGTACTTGCAACGTCCCACAAACAGAATTAAAAAATGTTTACAGGGTAATGAGTGATAGTTTTCTCTGTTTCCGTGAACACGCTGTATAGGGTGATTCACCAAACATGCTCACCCCCTTTTCTTCTTTAATAATATACTTCTTCGAAATATAATTTTTGAATTTTTTCTACTACTTAATGATTATCCTATGGCGATAAAAACTTCTGTATGTATCTAAATCAAAATTCAAACTTAACTTACAACTCGTTTGCTGAATAATTTAAAGTAAAAAAGGGGGTGTTCATTGGAAGAACAGAAGTTTGTATCGCCATTTTACGATATTTCAATTCGCATGTATAATGTTACATTTTTAGAATACTCATGTGTTACATTATCAAACGAAGAAAACAATAATAATATAAAAATAAATATCTATTATATATTATACCAGCGTTTCCCAAATACCGGGTCGCGACCCACTACCGGGCCATAAAAAATTTAATACCGGGTCTCAAAATTTAATGAAATTCTCATATTAAATTTGTTATTTATCATTTTCGTTTGATAATTTAAACTTTTAAGTAAAAATAAATTCATTAATACGAAAAACTATTATTTACAACATAAATAATAATTATTGAGATTATCAACTAGGCTTCATGAAAAACCCGAATAGTATGACATTCGCCGTATCTATAAATACATTATAATAGTATTGAATGAATGACAAGCGTCGTTGGTTATTACGGCACTAATCCGTTATCCGTTATCTACAAATGAATTACCGATATAGGCATATTATAGCGATGGCTAAATATTTATTTCAGTAATTCAGTTTGAACCTTGGTGTCAAACGACGCACGTCTACGACGAGTTAAAAATTGTAATACGTATACGCGTCTTTTTTTCTCGCGTTTATTTATAATGGATAAGTGGTTAATAAAACCAAGTACCGGTTCCATAAGAAACACCAACCAAGAGTCGAGTGATGTAAGTACAAGTTCTAATATTGGTTCTAATAAGTGGTCGTCCGATGCGCAAAGTAATTCTCTTACGAAAAAAAAGGGGGCCTGGAATCGACAGTATTTTGAAAATTACATTCAATTTGGCTTTATCGAGGGCGATGATAACAAACCATTCTGTGTAATATGTAATGCAGAACTTTCAAACGAGTCCATGAAGCCTTCGAAGTTGAAGAGGCATTTAGAATTGAAGCATCCTGAATACAAAGAAAAGCCTATAGATTTTTTCATTAACAGGAGAAGACAATTAAAAAGTGCCAAAAAAAATATGACTTCAATGTTTTCACTTAGTCCTCAAACTGAAAACCTTGTATTGGCTTCTTATGAAATATCAAAATTAATTGCTGAAACGGGTTATCCACACACAATCGGTGAAAAATTAATACTTCCGGCAATGAAAATAATTTCATCTCGAATATGCGAAAAAAAACAGGAAAAACAAGTAATTTTGTTGGCGTTGTCGAATAACACGGTGAAGCGTAGAATTGTGGATATGGCAAATAACATCGAAGAGACAATAGTAGGCCACCTCAAATCGTGTTGTTATTTTTCTTTACAAGTTGATGAAAGTACAGACGTGTCGGATAATGCTAATCTAATGTGTTTTGTAAGATATGATCTTGGAAATACTTCTCACGAAGAGTTATTGTTTTGTAAATCGCTGCCAACAAGAACAACAGCAGAAGAATTATTTAATTTAATCAATAGATATATTATTGAGAATGGCATTGAATGGAATAAATGTGTGGGATTGAGTAGCGATGGAGCACGTGCAATGTCAGGTATTCGTACTGGACTTTTTCCAAGAGTAAAAGCTGTAGCGCCGGAATGTGTATGGGTTCATTGTAGTATTCACAGAGAGGCATTAGCGGTCAAAAAAATGCCATTGTCTTTAACTGAAACGATGCAAGAGTGTGTAAAATTTATAAATTTTATTAAATCTCGTCCACTAAACTCGAGATTATTTTCTGCTTTGTGCAAAGAAATGGGGAGTGATCATGAACATCTTCTTTTACACTGTGAGGTGCGATGGCTATCGAGAAGGAATGTCTTGAAAAGACTAATCGAATTGAAGGAAGAAGTTTTGGTATTCTTAGAACAAAATCCTCCAACATCTAAAGATGCAATATTTGAATTTAAAGACAGATTTCATGATGTTAATTGGTTAGTTAAGGTAGCCTACATTTGTGATGTGTTTGATTTTTTGAATAATTTAAATTTGGCACTTCAAGGTGAAAATGTGACAATATTTAAAGTGCAGGAGAAGGTGGAAGCTGCAACAAAAAAACTTAATTTGTGGTCACGTCGCATAAAAACAGGAAATTACGAGGCTTTTACAATGCTGACAGCATTTCAAAAAGAGAATAACATAAGTTTCATGCCACACGATATGTTACGGGCCAAAGGGCTTATTAGGCGGGCTTTGGGCAAAGGTTTAATGGACTGTATTTTTTGTGAGATAGAAATTAACGCTGTTGTTATTAAATAAAGTAGATGGCATTTAATTTACCAATACAGTGGCACAAATAATAATTTAACATAATAAATAATTGTTCTGGCTTGACAGCACAGATAATACATGCATAACAATATAACAAATTATAGAGAATAATGTGTCTGGCCTGGTGGCACAGATGATAATAATACACTAATTGATTCTGGCCTGACGGCACAGATTATAATTTATACAAGGATTGATTCTGGCCTGACGGCACAGATTATAATTTAATAACATAAAGTGTCTGGCCTGATGGCACAGATAATAATAAAATAACATAAAGTGTCTGGCCTGATGGCACAGCTAATAATAAAATAACATAAAGTGTCTGGCCTGATGGCACAGATAATAATACAGATACTTAATAATACAATATTTGATTCTGGCCTGACGGCACAGATACTTAACAATACAGTATGTAATAATAAGTTTGTTGTGGTGCACCACCTACCTATTGTGAGGTTATGGGGTGTGTGGTGCCGGGATCTGTAGGTAACTATTTAAATACAATAAAAATAACAGGTGTGATCCCGCACACACACAGCACCACCGCTAACCTCCTCACAGAAGTCACCTTTCACCACAGACAACCCTGAGCGTTGACCCCACCATCACCGAACAACCACGCAGGTTTAAATGGATGGACCGTCACGCCAAGACACACCTGGATGTAGGTATCATCCTAGACTAGGAGAGAAAAATGCCAATTATAATATCATCGACTAGAAAATGAAGAACGATAGTTACTTGATAATGAACGAAAACCACAAAAACGCCATTACAATATACAACATGTGTTCAACTTTGCCTTGAAGACAACATGAGTCATGAAAAACAGCAGAAAAAAACTGTCACTGTACTTTCGACCGGTCTGCTTAAGCACGAAGCACCAAAAAAAAAAAACGAAAGAAGAAAAAAGAAAAGACCGACTGCGTAAAACTGCTGCATCACGTCCGTTGACTTATCAACAGTACAAAGTTAGGAACGTAATGCAGACAGTTTACGACTACTCATACCTGATAGCTCCTATCTCAAACATTATAAAAAAAAAAAAAAATGATATTTAAAAGTATATAGCTGCTGGCTGGGGAATCAACTTTATTAAAGTTTGATTAAGCCATAACACGATATATCAGCTCTTATTCAGGAACATTTGCAAGGACTGGAAACTAATCTAAAAGAATATTTTCCTCCAATTAACAGTAACAAAGAATGGATAAGAAACCCATTTTCAATCAATATTGAAACAACTTTTTCGGACTTAAATGTTGAATCATTAATTGAACTCTTGTGTGACACGGCACTCAAAGACATATATAAGGAACGGCCATTAATAGATTTTTTGTTATCTTGTCGTAAAGAATACCCAGTTGTAGCAGAACAAGCGATAAAATTTCTAATGCCTTTTGTCACGACCTATAAGTGTGAAGCAGGATTTTCAACACTCGTGTTCCTGAAGAATAAATACAGGAATCGGTTGGAAGTTGAACCGTACTTAAGAATAAAATTAACGTCCTTTCCAGCAAACTTGGAGTTCCTAGTTAAAAATAAACAGCTTCATACTTCTCACTGATAGTACTCAACTAATACATTTAGTAACTGTATTATAATTATTACATTGTAGTTTCAAAATATAAATGAACGCTTTAATTTTATTAAAAAATTCTATGTAGATATTCAAATGTGTTTTATTTTGCCTTTTATTACACAATTATAAACGTAAAATATTTTGGTGGGTCACGAAGATGAAAAATATAAATTACCGGGCCAGCCCAAACAAAAGTTTGGGAAACGCTGTATTATACTATATTATTTTGCGTTAAATATAAATACAATATCATACTTGAGTCTGGTTTTGCTTATTTATTTTTAGGAAACAGTTCCTGATGTTGAGTTTCCAATTTTAATGAGACAATTGAAAATGAAAGCTTCAAGAACTATTCCCCCAGAAATTCGTTCATTTGCTTTGACATTAAATTTTTATTCTCCTGCAGCCTACGAGTATGTACGTAAAACATTTAAAATCTTGCCTCATCCAAGTACATTAAGAGGTTGGTATTCTTCAGTTGATGGAGCACCTGGTTTCACTGCTGCGTCTCTAAACGCTATAAAAATTAAGGTCGATCAATTAGTGAAAACCAAAAGAAAAAAATGAATATGTGCCTTATTAATGGATGAGATGTTTATTAAAGAAGATGTGCATTATAATAATAATAGAATTCTAGGGTATGTTAATTTAGGTTTAGGCACAGAAGACTTTGATGGCTTACCAAAGGTAAAAGAAGCCCTAGTATTTATAGTAGTAGTTATAAACTCACGTTGGAAAATTCCTGTTGCCTATTTCCTCACCAATGGAATGTCTGCCCAAGAAAAAGCAAATTTAGTTAATATGTGTGTGACCAAAATTAATGATACTGGTGCTTCTATTAGAACATTAACGTTTGATGGAACTGCTGCAAACTTTTCAATGGCCCGTTGTTTAGGTGCAAAGCTTTTAGCTGATTCCGATTCCACACTCTTTAAACATCCGGTCACCAATGAGAATGTACATAATATCTTCTTAGATACAGTGCACATGCTGAAACTTTGCAGGAATACTTTTGGAGACTGGAAACAATTATATGATGAAAATTGAAACCCACTAAAATGGCAATACTTTGAAAAACTTGTAGCAATACAAGATGGTCTTGGGCTCCATTTTGCTACAAAAATTAGGAAAAGACACATCAATTATTATAAAGAAAAGATGAAGGTAAGGTTAGCTGCACAGACATTCAGCCAAAGTGTTGCTGATGCAATGATATATTTTAAAAATAATCTAAAACTTACAGATTTTAACAACTGTGATTCAACTATTACTTTCTGCATCAATGTTAACAACATTTTTGATTTTTTAAATACTCGAAATCACTTAAGTAAGACAGAACATAAAAAGGCTTTAAAGATTTCCCATAATATTAATATTCAACAATTTATATAATCATCAATATCTTACTTACAAAATCTGAAGTGTAAGCCCGTAAAATATAAATTAATTCCTTTGGTTGAGTCTTCACGTAAGACAGGGTTTGTTGGACTTTAGTATGTCTAAAAAGTATATCAAACATCTTAAATCAAGCAGATATGTTTGAATATGGTCTCTTAGAATACTTGCTTACTTATAAACTCTCACAAGATCACTTGAAAATGTTTTTCTCAGTAGTGAGATCTAGGGGTGGATTTTCGAACAATCCTACTGCTGCTCAATTCGAAGCAGCTTACAAACGATTATAAATACATACAAAAATCATGACTTGCTCTGAAGGTGCTAACTGTATGAATATAGATCTAACACCAATACTGTCAATTGGTTTGTTACATGGTAACAATTAAATTATTGTCTATCACTACTGGTATATGGTGTGTAATTGTGTATCCGTAGTGATAGATCATGTACCAAACGGGGGAATGTGAGAGGATTTGGATGTTCGACAAGACAAGTAGTTATACCGAGTATTGTTTAATGTATATTTAAAATGTAAAATAAAATGTAATATAAAATATTTTACTTTACCGATGACCTGGCAGCAACAATACACGGAGCAAGTGGTGAGACGAGACTAACCTCGTTCGGCTGACGAATGTCAAGCAGGCCGAACGATTATTATAAATTTTGTTAAATTTTGTTAACAAAATAGTTATACATATATATAGCTTTACTCCGTGATATTACAGAATGGATAAGAGATGACACGCGCATCTATGATATATGTATGGTATATAATACCATACGTAATATTATAATTATAAAAATATGAAAACTGTAATGGTGTTCCACACCATTACAGGTTCATCCAAGAAAACACAAAAACCTAATTCATTTAATGACTTACTTTGTTATGAAGATGGTGAAAGTGATGTAGATGATAATTTTAATGACATACAGAACAGTCTTAAAAATTTCTTAAATAATTTTGATGTTGACAAAATTGATATGTGTGTCAAGGATATAGTGGAATATATAGCCGGCTTTGTTGTGAAAAAATAAAAAATAAAATAACTTGTAAAGAATGTATAAAAGCACTTTTGGGTAATTCATCAAAAAGTTTTTTATTGAATATAAAAAATCAAGGTGGCCTAGTTAAACCTTCAACAGATGTTGTAAAACTATGTAGACTACCTGGAACAATTTTTAAATGCCATGAAAATGAAATTAAATGTAAAAAAGATATAATTTCTTATTTAACAGTAAGAGCTTCATCTAAAATTCAAATATCTACCTTATTTTCTAGTCTTTCTGATCATATACTTGATCAGTCACCCAAAGGCTCGTTTCACACTTATACGGTTCGATTCGGTTCGGTGCGTGTTCGATTCGTTTTCGGTAGCGCCTAAAACGAATGAAAACTCTTCACACACACTCGGTTAGTATAAGGTTTGATCTCACGACCGAATCATCGAATACGCAGTACTGCATTTTTTACTCACTTTTCCCACAATGCTCATTATGGAGAAAAGACAAATTGCTGCCATGTTATTTCTCTATAGAAGAATCAAAAAACGAAAGAGGAATAATCGACTGCACTGGGTACACCCTATCCTTACCAAACGGGTGGAATTTGGTGCATTTTATACCCTTTTTCCGAAATTAAGGGAGCACGTAGACAAATTTTCAAATTACTTCAGTATGTCTACGACATTATTTGATGAATTACATTTGAAGTTAAAGGACAGTATTCAACGCCAAGATACATTTATGCGCGAATGTATTCAACCAGTTCAGATGTTAGCCATCACTTTGAGGTAAGTCAATAAGATAAATTATTAGAATGAACAATTAAACAGAAATGCTTTTATTTTGAAATAAAATAATATTTTGATAATAATATTTTGAAATAACAAATGAACTAAATAATGAAATGAAATATTATAATTATACAATGTAATATATTATTTAGTTACATATTTCAATTTAAATTAAAAAAATGATCTGAACTATCATCGGAAACCGAATAGAAGCTGTAGCTAGGGTTTGGGCTTGAAAGATAGTGAGCTGTATTTTCATAGTATTGACCAGTGGATATTTGCGGTTCAGTTTGTAGCTGGGAAACCGAACTACTACATAAAGGTGGATGTCGGTTGTGGACCGGTTGTGTTTGCTGCTGACACTTCCGCTCCCTGATGTTCTTAACGATTTTTAATACCTCCATTTGAAAATCAATTGTGTCACTCTCATTAAAATCTTCAAGAGAAGGGAGTAAACCTTTGAAAAATGAGAGATGCCGATTTACTGGTTCTCTTAAGGCTGAAATCATTTCTAATTCAACAGGATCCATTTTTCGTTTCTTTGTAACGGGTTTTTTGAAAGGTGATTTAGGTTTTTCAGCCGCTCCATCACTCGATAAACTTGGAACTTGTTCCACAGGATCCTCTCCTTTTTCAAACATGGAATCCTCATCACCACAATCGTCAATATTTTGTGACAAAGTGTCTTCTGTATTTCTTTCTTGGAATATTTTGTCGAGGAATTGCAACTGAGATGAATAAACGTAGGCTTTTACTTTTACCGCCCCAGATCCCGATTTTTTAGCAGCCTTAGTTTTTCCTAATGATTTTCGGTACGAGTCTCTCACTTGCGTCCACTTTTTTAGAACATGTTTACCTACATATAAGAATTGAAGTAATACTAACTAATCGAAAAAATATATAATTTCACTATTCAATGTTTAGATGCGACATTTATTAATTCTATTTATAATTTTTATCATACTTATATTGTATTTATTGATTAATTTATGTTGTGTCGAAAAAAAATAAAGGCATAAAAACGTTGAGTTAAAAAATATAAATTGGAAATGTAAAAATTGATACATACAGCTATTTAATACAAACCAACATATGATATGTGTTTATAAAATATAAGTATTATATGTATTCCTAATTTATTTTTTTATAAAGTATTAATCTAAAACAATTTTTTGTGAACATTTTTAATAATACAAATAATTTATTTTAATTTTAATTTTTCTAATTAAAAATTTTTTTTTTATCTATTTTAGGTACTTGGCTAGTGGTTGCTCTTTCGTGGATTTGTATTATACTTTTCTCCTCGGGGTTTCAACTATCAGTAAGATCGTTAGAGTAGTTTGCTGTGCTATATGGTCAGTGCTACGATCGGAATGCATTCCAGAGCCAGATAAAGACAAATGGAAATCAATTGCCAAGAAATTCGAAACTCGCGCCAACTTTCCAAATTGTATTGGTGCAGTTGACGGTAAACACGTCAGAATAGTCCATCCCCTAAATTCAATGCATATAAATTATAAAGGATATTCATCTATAGTTCTGATGGCTGTAGCGGATGCAGATTACCGATTTGTTTACGCAAATATTGGAGCGTATGGAAAGGACTGCGATTCTAACGTTTTTCAAAAATGTCAATTGTGGAGATCTATTGTTAACGGCACCATGGATATACCTGAAGACAAGTGTCTTCCAGGCTCGCAAGACCAAAAAGTTCCTTATTATTTAGTAGGAGATGAGGCTTTTGGTTTACATAAGCATCTCCTAAAACCGTACGGTGGACATAGTTTAACAATCAAGATGAGGATATTCAACTATCGGTTATCTAGAGCACGCAGGTACGTGGAATGTACATTTGGAATATTAAGCAACAAATGGAGAATCTTCCATCGTGCATTTAACTTAGATCCAGACTTTGCTACGGATATAGTGAAAGCTTGTGTAGTTTTACACAATTTCGTACGCGACCGAGACGGCTTTGAAACGGAAGATATGATGTCTATTACAGGACTTGAAAGTGACCCAGGAAATCCCCCAGGGGAAATGAGAAGAAATCAGGCAACAGTCTCAGCCAAAAATGTAAGAGATGTACTCAGTAATTACTTCATGACTGAGAATGGTTTAGTCCCTTGGCAGTTTTCAAAAATCTAAATAATATATTATGTTTAATTATGTTTTAATAAAAATATAATGATATAAAATATAATATTGTATTTATTCATTTCACTATTAATAGGGATCAAAATAACTAATAAGAAATAAATACATAGTAGCCTAAAAAAATAGTAAGTTTTTTAGTAGTTACGGTTACAAATTATAATTATTTATAAATCAAACTATTAATACCATTATTTTTCGTATAAATACGATAAAAATATTATTAAGATATTAGTTTTAAGGGTTTCCCATAGTATAATGTTTTTATTTTTCAGAAAATCAGTTAAAAATAAAGAACAATTATTTATAATGTTACATGCCCCAAAAATAGCTTGTACTATAATCCAATTTACTTATAATTTTGGAAAGTACTCATAAAATAATCTTAATACTCGACGGAAATAAAATATGCTATACCTACGTACCGATATCATTTTTTTTAGAATCGTCAAAATCTTCGTAGCCGTCTATGATTTCCGTACAAACAGCTTTCCATGCTTCTAGCGTCTTAAATTTATCTTTATACTTTTCACTTGTTTTGTCCCACAGCACTACACGTGATTGGACTGATGTAATCAGCCGCTCAATATCAATGTCAAGTGAATCAGACATTGCCAAATGTATATTATAAAATTTAAAATGAGAAAATGAAAATGAAATAATATTTTCCCTTGCCGAAAACGTGACCGAACCGAAACTAAACCGTATGTGTGTAAACGACCATTTGCTTTTGTTAACTCTGGACCCGAATTGAAACCGAACGAAACCGATTCGTGTCGAGGGGGCTTTCGGTTCTATCAGTTATCTATTAGGTACCGAACACACGCCGTATCACCGTTTCACACTTATCCAGCGGCTACCGAAAACGAATCGAATACGCACCGAACCGAATCGAACCGTATAAGTGTGAAACGAGCCTTAGACAATCATCTGTTACAAATAGTTACTTTAATTTTTAAAACATATTTTACATTACGCTTGAATCATCACAATAAAACTCTTAGTCAACCTACTGAAAGAATTCGATCTCATCTAACTAAAACAATTCACTTCAAAGGTCAGTAAGAAACTATTATTTTTTAAACTATAAATATTTACCCAAATGAAGTTTGGTTTATTTAAGTTTTTATTATTTTGTGATTAATATAATAATATTATATTAGGTATAATGTTGTTTTTTTTCTTGCTTATTTCATATAATATTTCAAGTATTTTGTGTTATGAAGTTTTGAGCTTTATGTAATATATTTTATAATTATATTGTGTTGTTTATACCTTATGGGTTATTTTGAATAATATGTTAAGTATTTTGTTCTATTAAGTTTGGTCGTTTGGATTATTTAAGTTTGTATTATAATATTATTATGTTGTTTGTTTTTTTGTATTGCTTATGTAATCACACAGGGCGAATATTCTATGAATGTTTATTTAAAATTAAAAAAAGGGAATATAAATAAGAAACTTAAATTGTTATTTATTCTTGTAGTTTAATTCATAGATATTAAAGATAATGTACCTATTGTTTAACCATACCTCTTCTTCATAGCATAACATATAGCTCTGACATAATATTAAAAAAAATGGTAAAAAAACCAACACAAAATTATAATAACCACGTTATATTAAGAGGACGCCACACCCGCATGTGTTGTCTCCGTCTTACAAAGGAACAACATAGCAAAAACTGTTTTGCGCGGGACAACTTTTATCTATCTGTGTTTGTAGTAGTGGCTCCAAAATTTCTGAACATATCGAGTAGAAAATTATCTATGCAACAGCGTGCCTATATTTTAGATAACATAAATATAATAAAAGTTATTTGCTTCTAAACATTTTGTTTTTTTCATTTGCTTATAAAAAAATGATTGGAAAAAGTAATTTAAAAAAAAGCATGTTGTTGCACAGATAAAGTTCTTCTTTACGTGTTGTGAAAATTTGGTAATTCTACAGCAAACATGATGCGAGAAAAGTTGTCCCGCGCTAAACAGTTTTTGCTATGTTGTACATTTGTAAGACGGATACAGCACTTGCGGGTGTGGCGTTCTCTTAATGATGGAATAACAATAAATGTGCAATGGATTACGTATTACGAGTAAATAATCAATGGTAAATGTTTAAGAGTGTTATGACAAAGGCAGCGAAGCGAGATACGCGCGCAATCGGATAATACGCTATTATTAAAGATTATTGTTTACATCAATGTAGGGGAGAGCGGGGCAAGTTGACTACGTTAAGGTTCGAACAATTATCCTGCCACAACTAATGGTTATATTATCATAATTTTTTTTACAGATAATCCAGAGTATACTAAGAGTATATGCTAATTTTTTGGTTTCTTCATATTTAGTATCTTATGCTTAAAAAATAATTTTGAAAAATTAATAAATTTCATCAAGGGGCAAGTTGACTGTTATTTTGGTTGTGCTGAATAAAGTTTTAAAAATCTCAATTAAATCATTTTGAATATCTTTATTCAGTATAAAATATTAATGTAATAACTAATAAGGTTGTTTACTTGTTGTATAACATGCTTTATACCAGGGGCGTATTTAGATATATTTTTTGGGGGGGGGGCTGTGGTATTTTCTGCAACTGAAATTCCCCAATTCAGCCTATTAAAAATAAGAGTTTGAAAATTAGTACACAATTTTAATTTTTGTCATGATTTTTAATGTTTTCAAAAAATTAATAATGAAATAATATATAATAATAATAATAATACGATATTCATATAACAAATCAAATCAAATTTAAATTTCTTTCTTTGCCACTGTTAGCAAATTTATCTAATAAAATGTCATCTGGTATGTCAATGTCTCTATGAATAGCTAAAAGGGCAAGTCCCACTAGTCTGGATTCTGAAGTTGTATTTCTTAAATACGTTTTGAGTCTTCTCAACGTCGAAAAGCTGCGCTCAGCTGTAGCGGTTGATACTGGTATTATAGCTAGTATTTTTATTAATTCATACATGTTTGGATACATTAAATTATCACAGACACTCAAAGCCTCTATAGCAGTTGTGGGCCTTAAGTTGTCTTCAATATTCTTCCACTTAGCTTGCCAAATTTCGTACTCTGCTTCTATAACGTCATTTAGCCCCGGTAAATCATTTTCATAAAATTCAACAGCTTTTTTTTAATAAGAAAATGGTTTTTCAACTACAATACTTGGTAAGACATATTGTAATGAAGTTATAGTTTCATTGTGAGGTATAAATCGTTCATTTAATGCCATCATCAAATCGTCCAAGTACGGTATAAAAATAGATTTTTTGTAATATTCTTCAATGTTGTTAGATGGTACATTGCTTCTATTTCTTTGACTGCTACAAATACGAGGCATTTTTGGTTCAATATTTAACTTTTCAGCAATATCTTTGGCTTCTTTATAAATATTGTTAAATTTTAAATCAACGTTTTCTCTTATGGATTGAAACACAGAAAATATACCTGAAGACAAGTGTCTTCCAGGCTCGCAAGACCAAAAAGTTCCTTATTATTTAGTAGGAGATGAGGCTTTTGGTTTACATAAGCATCTCCTAAAACCGTACGGTGGACATAGTTTAACAATCAAGAAGAGGATATTCAACTATCGGTTATCTAGAGCACGCAGGTACGTGGAATGTACATTTGGAATATTAAGCAACAAATGGAGAATCTTCCATCGTGCAATTAACTTAGATCCAGACTTTGCTACGGATATAGTGAAAGCTTGTGTAGTTTTACACAATTTCGTACGCGACCGAGACGGCTTTGAAACGGAAGATATGATGTCTATTACAGGACTTGAAAGTGACCCAGGAAATCCCCCAGGGGAAATGAGAAGAAATCAGGCAACAGCCTCAGCCAAAAATGTAAGAGATGTACTCAGTAATTACTTCATGACTGAGAATGGTTTAGTCCCTTGGCAGTTTTCAAAAATCTAAATAATATATTATGTTTAATTATGTTTTAATAAAAATATAATGATATAAAATATAATATTGTATTTATTCATTTCACTATTAATAGGGATCAAAATAACTAATAAGAAATAAATACATAGTAGCCTAAAAAAATAGTAAGTTTTTTAGTATTTACGGTTACAAATTATAATTATTTATAAATCAAACTATTAATACCATTATTTTTCGTATAAATAAGATAAAAATATTATTAAGATATTAGTTTTAAGGGTTTCTCATAGTATAATGTTTTTATTTTTCAGAAAATCAGTTAAAAATAAAGAACAATTATTTATAATGTTACATGCCAAAAATAGCTTGTACTATAATCCAATTTACTTATAATTTTGGAAAGTACTCATAAAATAATCTTAATACTCGACGGAAATAAAATATGCAATACCTACGTACCGATATCATTTTTTTTAGAATCGTCAAAATCTTCGTAGCCGTCTATGATTTCCGTACAAACAGCTTTCCATGCTTCTAGCGTCTTAAATTTATCTTTATACTTTTCACTTGTTTTGTCCCACAGCACTACACGTGATTGGACTGATGTAATCAGCCGCTCAATATCAATGTCAAGTGAATCAGACATTGCCAAATGTATATTATAAAATTTAAAATGAGAAAATGAAAATGAAATAATATTTTCCCTTGCCGAAAACGTGACCGAACCGAAACTAAACCGTATGTGTGTAAACGACCATTTGCTTTTGTTAACTCTGGACCCGAATTGAAACCGAACGAAACCGATTCGTGTCGAGGGGGCTTTCGGTTCTATCAGTTATCTATTAGGTACCGAACACACGCCGTATCACCGTTTCACACTTATCCAGCGGCTACCGAAAACGAATCGAATACGCACCGAACCGAATCGAACCGTATAAGTGTGAAACGAGCCTTACTATGCCATTTCTAATGCGAATGAATTTACTCATTTTCAAAGAAGTAAGAATATTTTCCTGCCCACTGCTGTTTTATATCTTAATGTCTAAGTAAAGTTAAGCCCAGACAAACCCAAAAGTATAACCTTAGCCTTATTCAACCTAACTTACCCTATTAAATTGCTAAAATTATTTTCAGCTTCTGTAATTTGAGATTGGATACGAAAATGACAAGCTGTTGATGAAAATTGAATACTGAAACACAAAAGCCACTGGAACATTTTGCTGGTTTCTGTGGTCCAATACACCAAGTCACAATCATACAACACACATATCCTTTTTATTATTGTTTTAGATGATTCATTATCATAAATTACATTTAGGATAGCTACTAAAGAATATTATTTTAATATTTCATTCTAAATTTTAGATGATATCATTGTATTTTTTTCAATGATAGGATAAAAGAATAAATTAAACATTTGGTTTCTTTCGGTATATCATTGAGATGTTAAATTATATAATTTTAGTGTGGGTCAGTTCAATATCTTATAATGATGAAAGCATAATAATGTACATGTCAATACAAATCTACAAAATATGCACCTAGTAATAAGGTTAAAAAAATGCGTTTGAAAAATAGTCTTTTAACAGAACTGGAAGTTTACTGGTGAATATTTTTCTAGATATACATTCACATGTGTTAAATACCAATGTCTATTTTGACATTTTAAATTTAACTTAATTAATTTGAAATTCTCTTAATGTCTCGCAATTACAATGACTGTTGATCATATCTGGAATAATCTCTCTTCGAAAGTGGCATTCATAAATTGCATACAATTAAAGCGTAAATACATTGCTAACATTCCTTCAAACAGTAACCGGTAAATAACCCCACGAAAAAATCTAAAAATACAGTTGAAAGTCCCTAGTTGTTGGTGAGAAATGGAACTTGATGAATTACAAATCGTAAATGACTTAATAATTTTCAAAAAATTCAATTAATATTTGTAATTTCTACGTAAGATGTGATTTTGTAGATTATTTCATGGCAGCATTGAAAAACATGACATTTTCTTAAAGTTGATTCATTGGCTATTATTTTATTTGTATGCTTGAAAGACAATTTTTAAATGTTAAATTCTGTATTTTTTGCAATGGAATATTAGTTAAGTATGTCTGACAGTTAAATAATTCAATTTATAATGTTACAAGGCTTTGCAAAATTAAATATTTTTTTTTTTAACTTATTGAGTTAAGTTATCATAGATAAATGTAAGTTAAGGTTAAATTTGAAAGAGACCTTTATTTTTTTTTAGTTGTAAAAGTTAAAAGTTAATTAGATAACTCAAGACAATTTAAGAGGACGTGGTACCCACAAGTGCTGTCTCTGTTTTACAAGTGCTTAACATAGCAAATAATGTGCTCAGCAGATCACATTATTTCAGTTCACTCTATTTTTTTTTTAACAAATTTAGTTAAACGTGATCTGCTGAGCATAACATTTGCCATGTTAAGCACTTGTAAGACGGAGACAACACATGAAAAAAATACACCAAAATCACTGTAAAAGTTCAATAGATGCCAAGTACAATTGTCACACCACATTGGATTTTACAAACACAAGCTGCATTTGCCAATAGACGAGTGTTCTAAGTGTTTCTAAGCATTTGAAAGAAATATGTCAATGCATCAAATTCTCCAATAATCAATGTTTTACATTAAAAAAAGTCATTAGTCATGTGTTAAAATAAACTACTGATTTTGGAAATGATAATTATTAGAATAATAATAAAATATTAATTTCAATTGATACAGATGATAGAGTGTAAAATTACTTCTAAAAAATTGTCCATTGATCTTTTCTTTTGTTAGTTTTGAAGAAGTTTGTTTTAATATTCGATATGTTATTAACAGTCTATTTTATTAGGTTTTTTTGTACTATTCCTATTATAATATAAATATCATAATATACTATGGTTATTTCACGTTAGGTGTAAAACAGTATTTTCATTACATTATTATTCACCTCTTTCATTTCTGTTGTGTCAATAAACTATTAATATCAAACAAGCATACGTCAATAAACAAAGCTGTAGAACACGCAATGTATTTAAGTTATTAATCAATATTAGTGTTCGTAATTATACATCTAAATCTCAATAAGTTAAGGAAAAGATTTACTTTTTAATTTTTAATTTTATATTAATTACTTTTATATTTCAATTAATTACAATAATTATGCCAAGGTTTTAATTTGTTAAAACACTTATAAATATGCACAAACTCATTATCATAACATACATAATATTATATTATACATTTCATTAACATTATTTTTTAAAACTTATTGAGATTTAGCTAATTCAAATTTAAAATTCTTTTTGTTTTCATTATTTATGTATTTATTTCTTTGTTACAGCCTCCAAAGTCATACATCCGGTATTCATTGTCATTTCCTGAGTGCGTTTATACTTCATAGTGCGTTTATAGTGCGTTTATATTTCATAGTGCGTTTATACTTTATAGTGCGTTTTTAGTGCGTTTATAGTACGTTTATAGTGCGTTTGAATAGTGGTATCGACTATTCTTTATTAAGTATTTCATTATTCTTATTTTTTAGTTAAATTAAAATATTTTTTCAAGTTTAGTAGTTTGGTTTTTGTAAGTATTTTGTAAGTATTTTGTTTATTATTAATTTTTTTTTTTTTTTTAATATTTATTTATTAATTTTGTGTAAGTATAGTACAGAAAAAGCTTATAAGTCGAGATTAAGAATCAAGACTTAAAATTAAAAGTCGAGATTAAGGTTCGAGACTTATATTTAAAAAGTCGAGATTAAGGTTCAAGACTTAAGAGTAAAGTCGAGATTTAGGTTCGAGACTTTAATTATTAAAAGTCGAGATTTAGGTTCGAGACTAAAACCAAAGCTTTTACATAATTCATATTAAATTACTTAAGTGTTTATACCTAAATTGTAGCTGTGACGTGTAACAAAATGAGTCTAAATAATAGATTGAATGAAATAGCTCAGTATGTTTGTATTGAATATCCCGAATTAAACTTTAATGAAGTCAGTTTTACACACAAGTGTGTGACAGACATTTGCGAAACGATCTTTAAAACAATAAATTCAAATTTGAAAAAAAAACATTGTCAATGGTCTTAAACGAGAAACATCAGAACTTTGAAAACTCATTCGGATGGTGAAAGAAAACGATGAATCTACGGTGTCTGAATGATACTAAAGTAATGAGAAATATTGTGAAATTTATTAAAGAAAAAAACTATTCTAAAAATGATTTTGTTAACTTCAATTCAAGGGTAATTTATGACATTTGTAGACAATTAAAAATATGTAAGAATAGTAAAAACGCAAAATCGGTGTACAGAATATGAGAAAAATAATTCATGGATACTTCTTCGTTTTCTACTTTTACTTTATTAAATACTCTTAGCAAATGCTCTGAAGTAGAAGGAGAATCAAATATAAATATAAATAACTCAGATTTGTTAGAAAACCAAACCAATTTAAATGAACTGAACGTTGAGTCATTGAAGTCAAACGATTTGTACACCACTTTTGATGATGGTGTTTCAAAAATTGGTATCAAGGAAAACGAATGCATAAGCGACTTAACAATAACATCAGTAAATTTTGAAACTGTAGTTAACAGTACACCAATACCAAAAAAATGTTACATTGCTACTCCTCCACCACTGAAAAGGTCAGATGAAAAATACCTTAAAGTAGACACACCGTTAAGAGAAGCCTTAATGAAGACAACACCAATTAAGTCTGGTGTTGTTTTACCCCCTGGTGCAGAAAATAAATATCCAAATAAAGCTGACTGCAGAGAAAACAGTTTTAGAACGTTTTCTGGTTGCACATATAGAGAAGGTCAATTTATGTTTACGGAGCAAGAATGGTCTCTTATTGAATATGTCAACGAAAAAGGCAATGTTCGTCTTGAAACTACAAAATTCCCGATCATATTAAGGAAACGAATAAGAACAGTTAACAACACACGTGTTATCAACGTAAGGTCGGTAAACTATCCTAAAAGCTCGTACTGCCATATTTATATGTACTGCAGTCACCCTGGATGCAAAAGTTTTAAGCTTATTGTTGAACCTCAAATAAATAGTCATGTTTTGAGCACTGTGTGGAGTACTAGCCTACATTACTACCACAATCCTGATTATGCACTAACAAATCATATCAGAGGTATAGAAAGAGACTTGGTCAGAGGAACGTTGAAAAGGACAAAAGTATTTGCTTACGATGATGAAGCGGTAAAATCTGCTTCGCCGAGCAAGCATACCCGGGGTAACAATCAAAAGGTTAAGTCGGTTGACGTGCTAAGATGAATCCGATCAGAAGCAATAAGTGCTGATGACTATAACAGAGACGATATGGTAGACATGTTGTTGATGTATTCTGAAAATAGTGACTATATAAAACATGTTGGTTTACCTTCATATGCACATTGTTATAGTGATGAACAGTTGAATCTACTTACGAAATTTAAATCCAAATGCAAAGGCACGATAACTGGTTATTTGGATGCTACTGGTACAGTAGTAAGAAAAGCTAGCGATGATAGCAAAAGAGTCCTGTATTATGCTGTAGTGGTTAACGCTCCACTACCAGGGAAATCCAGCATTACCTTTCCAATAGTAGAAATGATAAGCTCATCACATTACA